CTCTTCCTTCTCTTATCTCCCTGGAGGACTCCTATGCATCCTGCAAGACCCAGTTCAAATGTCCCTTCCCCTGAAGCCTCTCCTGACCAGAGGATGTTCCATACCACAGCCTTGGGCTCCTGCACTAGTCTATTCATACCACTTCTCAAACTGCCTCAATGTTTTTCTCTTGTCCTCTCAAACCTGACTTCTTTCTGTAACACAGAATATGCCTCTCCCCTACAGAAAAGTAGCACTGGGTCTCCACCTACAACAGTGGTTCTCAAGCTTAAATGAGCAACAGTGTAACTTAGATTGCTGGGCCCTACCTTAACATGCCAATTGCTGGGCCTCACCTCAAAGTTACTGACTTAGTAGGCCTCAGGAGGGGCCTGATACCCTGCATGTCTAACCAAGCCCCAGCTGAGACTGATGAGCTGATCCAAGGGCCGTAAGTTAAGAACCACTGCAGTAAAAGATCGGAGGCAAGGTCTTCGCCTTGGTATGCAGGGCCTTCCACAACATGACCTCCAATTACTTTACCACCCTCATCTTTCGCATCTTTCGCCACATGCTGCCCCGGTCCTGGACTAGCCATCTTCCAAATGTGCTGTGCCTGTCATGCTTTCACCCCGCTGCCATGCTGTCCCTTCTGCCTGACATCCTTTCCCCCTTTATATCCACCCAGTTCCAGGGCTGCCTTCCTTGATCTCACAGCACTAGTACCTTTAAACATGTACAAAGTAACAAATTGTAGACTGTCAGGGAAGCTACAAAAGAGGAGGGTAAGAAATGGTCTTGGCTGGGCGCGGTGGCTCAAGCCTGTAATCCCAGCACTTTGGGAGGCCGAGGTGGGTGGATCACGAGGTCAAGAGATCAAGACCATCCTGGGCAACATGGTGAAACCCCGTCTCTACTAAAAATACAAAAAATTAGCTGGGCATGGTGGCGTGTGCCTGTAATCCCAGCTACTCAGGAGGCTGAGGCAGGAGAATTGCCTGAACCCAGGAGGCGGAGGTTGCGGTGAGCCGAGATCGTGCCATTGCACTCCAGCCTGGGTAACAAGAGCGAAACTCCGTCTCAAAAAAAAAAGAAAAAGAAAAGAAATGGTCTTGGCCACAGCAGTGGGTGTAGGATGAGTGGGATGAGAAAGCACCAGCCTTAAAGTGACAACTTAGGGACAGAAAAATCTAGTGTATTTATTTCAACAACAGCATGGCAGTCACATCTAGTTAGGAACTGTTTTTGGCTCTACCTGGTTTTCCAGCTCTGCCACTTGCTAGCTGTGTGGCCTGGGGAGCAGCTTGCACAGCTCTTTTGCTTCTCATTTTCTTTTGTAAGATGGGATAAAGCAACAGCCTCACTGAATGCAGATTAAACCACACAATGCAAGTAAAACTCATAGCAAAAAACCTAGCACACAGTAAACTCTGAATAAATGCCAGCTATTATGAGAAGTATCTCTGGAACGGGGAAAGTAAGGAACTTGGTACCCAGCCACAATCAATAATGGAAATAGAAGCATACTAGAGATTTTTCTTCATGGTACATAGTCAGCAGTCCAACAAACGCTGTATGCACAGAGAGGAAGATGAATGGACAGGAAAGTGGGTGGCTGGGTGGGTGGGTCAATGGGAGATCGCCTTTGGTTAATATCAAAAGTGGCTCTGTGAGGCCAGTTTGGCAATAGACACTTAAGAATCTTTAAAATTCTCATTAAAAAGCTCTCAGACAAAAACACACACACACAAAATCAAAAGATGTCCATCACAGAGTTGTTTATAACAGTCCCCCCCACCCAAAAAAAGGAGAACCCTAAATGCAAACCAATAGAGAAGGACACAGCACAGTCAGAAGATGAATTTCTTTGGAGGAATAAAAAAATGAAGATAAAAGTGTTTCTCCACTGGCATGGAAACATGTTCTTTTTTTTTTTTTGAGATAAGAGTCTTGCTCTGTTACCCAGGCTGGAGTGCAATGGCATGATCTCAGCTCACTGCAACATCCGCCTCCTGGGTTCAAGCAATTCTCCTGCCTCAGCCTCCCAAGTAGCTGGGATTACAGGTGCACACCACCACGCCTGGTTAATTTTTTGTATTTTTAGTAGTGACGGGGTTTCACCATGTTGGCCAGGCTGGTCTGGAACTCCTGATCTCAGGTGATCCACCCATCTAAGCCTCCCAAAGTGCTGGGATGACAGGTGTGAGCCACCGCATCCAGCCATGAGTTCACATTTTAAAAAAATCTCTGTGTGTGCATACAGAAAAATTCCAGAAAATGTATTCCAGATGTTATCAGTGATTATTTCTGGGTAAAAATTTGAATAATTTAATCTCTTTTTTTGCTTTTCTTATCATTTTTCTCTTATGCCCATTTTTATTTGTGTAATTTCTTTTTGTTTGTTTGTTTATAGAGGTGAGGTCTCTCTATGTTGCCCAGGCTGGTCTTAAACTCCTGGGCTCAAGCGATCCTCCTGCCTTGGCCTCCCCAAATGCTGGGATTATAGGTATGAGCCACTGTGTCTAGCCTATTGTGTAATTTCTTAAAAGAAGGAAAAACTGGCTGGGCACAGTGGCTCACGCCTGTAATCTCAGCACTTTGGGAGGTCAAGGTAGGTGGATCACCTGAGGTCAAGAGTTCGAGACCAAAAATTAGCCAGACAGGTGTGATGATGGCACCCGCCTATAATCCCAGCTACTTGGGAGGCGGAGAGAGAAGAATTGCTTGAACCTGGGAAGTGGAGGTTGCAGTAAGCCAAGATTGTGCCATTGCACTCTAGCCTGGGCAAAAGAGCAAAATTCCATCTCAAAAAGAAAGAGAGAAAGAGAGAGAGAGAAAGGAAGAAAAAAAAGGGGAAAAAAAGGAAGGAAAAGAAGGAAAGGAAGAAAGCAGGCAGACAAGAAAGAAAAGAAGAGGAGGAGGAGGGGTGGAGGAAGAGGAAGAAGAAGAGGAAGAAGAACACGAACAACAATAACCACCACTTTAAAAGGCAGCTCCCTGAATTAGGACAGAAGAAACCTACAGTCTCGGGTCCTAAGCCTGAGCCGTGTGACCATGAGCAAGGGGCCTGCCCTTTCTGTGCTTCTGTTCCCTCCTCTGGAGAAGGGTGACACCTGGTAACTCTCCCTCGTTTGTTCTCCTCTGGAGGACCCTGAGGACTATATATAAACAAGGGCTTTGAAATCTGAAGCTGAGATTCAAGTGGTGGCAGTTTTATTACCCCAATACCACCTGAGAGATTCCTCAAGGAAATGCTCAAAGAGGTAAAGGAAAGTTGGCCTGGGCCCCAGGGTTAGCTAGTTTTAGGGGACAGAGCTCTGGATGGGCTAGAGGGCCCAAGTTCTCAGCCCCCTCGGCCACTGGCTTCCCCTTACAGGGCTTCAGTAGTCCAGTCTGTGAAACGGGAAGAATACACAATGCTTTCTAGACAACACTTTGTTCTTCTTAAGCAGCAGGGTTCTTCTCTCCAAGGAAATACACATTTCTCCATTGAGCATCAGTAATTTTGCTCCTATAAATGAGGCATTCTGTGCAAAAAAAAAAAGCTAGGACTCTCTTTCCCATTATACAATGTTATATATCAACTCAATTCCCCACCAATTTCCTAAAATGTAACTAATACACAGTAAAACTCTCTTCACACATAATAAACTATCATGACAAGTATGGACAATGCTTAAAACATCCCTTCCCGATCACCCAATAACCACCATTAATAACTACTGCTGTGTGCAGTAACATGGCCCTGAGCTCTCTCTGCCCCAGCAACAACTGGGATGACCAGACCCTTACATCTGATTCTGACATGCTTCCAAGTACATCCAGCAATCACTCAAGACTTTTTCTGTCTTATATTTTTTTGTTATAAATGCTGTACTGGGTTTTTGGGACAAACATATAATGTTTTACATAGAAAACACTGGCTGCAAAAAAGCTTGGAGAGATAACGCATTCCAGGAATTCTATTTTATAAACTGAGAGGCATTAACACCAGGAGAACATAAATAAGACAGACTCAGGCAGGCTTGTCCCATGAAAGCCAGGGGGCACTCCCCAGTTCCTTTGTGGAAGTTGAAGGGTGGGCTGGGCATGGTGGCTCACACCTGTAATCCCAGAACTTTGGGAGGTCAAGGAGGGTGGATCACATGAGCTCAGGAGTTTGAGATCAGCCTGTCCAACATGATGAAATGCTGTTTCTGCTAAAAATACAAAAAATTAGCTGGGTATTGTGGCACATGTCTGCAATCCCAGCCACTTGGGAGGCTGAGGCAGGAGAACTGCTTGAACCTGGGAGGCAGAGGTTGCAGTGAGCCAAGATCGCTCCACTGCACTACAGCCTAGGCAACAGAGTGAGACTCTGTCTCAAAAAAAAAAAAAAAAAGAAGAAGTTGAGGGGTGGTGCTGAGTTTGGAAGGTAGGGCTTGAATGTGCATCCACACTGCTCGTCAAAGAATGAGGATGCTGATGGAAAATAGGGCCTGGTAAAGAGACCGCTTCTTTACGGCAGCCGTCGAGAAGGATCTCCACATAGCAGCTGTGGCAGTGGTAGAAGAAGTGCTACTATGACAGTTAATGAAATAGCCAACACTTACTGGGCTCTTACATGTGCCCAACACTCTTCTAAGCACCTAGCATGAATTAACTCACTTAATCCCACTAATCACTCTACAAGCTAGGTACTATTATTAGCCCTTCCTTACAGATGGAGAAACTAAGGCATGCAGAGGTTAGGAACTTGGTTAGGATTATTCAGCTTGTAAACAGCAGGGCTGGGATTCGAGGCCAGGCAGCAGAGCTTTAGAGTTCCTTCCTGCTCCAAATCCCTGGTGCTCCTCCCAAGGGGGAGGCACCACAGGAAGGGGAGGGTAGGTGGCCAGGAGCTCCTCACTTCCCCATCTCCTTGCCCTGGTCCTCGCCCTCAAAGCAGATGCTGAGAAACAGCTGAAGACCTCAGGACCAAGCTAGCTTCAGAGCACCAGGCAATGGGGGCTGAGCAGAGGAATGCTGGGCGGCAGCCTTACCCACAGCTTCCCGTTGTGATAGTAGGCTCCCAGGAGCTTCACGATGTAGGGGTGGTCACAGGTGGCCAGGATCTCAATCTCCACGATGTAGTCCTCCAGCTCCTCCTCACTCTTGGTTTCAATGACTTTGGCCGCAGCCAAGGCACCTGTCTCCTTATTCTTGGCCTGCAAAGAGGAGACACGGGAGGTCAACAAGGTATGCTTGGCAGGAAATTGACCTCTGGACGTGAGCCCAGAGCCCTGTGTGAGTATGAAAACAGAGGCCGGATGTCCAGATGGGGACTGAGATGCTGAACCAGGACGTACATTGTTCTTGACAACAGCCAGTGCCACACATCATGTCTGTACTTAATAATATGTAACAATATACCCATACAATACTATGGAATAAATAAAAATACAAGAATGAGACAGCTCCACAAATAACAACATACAAAGACTGTGGATTTGTTCAGAAAAAAAAAAAAAAAGAAAAAACAACCAAGTCACTAAACAGTAAAAGTGGCACAATACTTTTTGCATAAAAAATGGCAAACTACACCTTCATACATGCTCACAAGCATCTGTGAATGCATGGGAAACTCAGGAAAAATACTGCCTGATAGCAGGCTGGGGAGGGGTCACAAATGCGGAGGCATTCAAAGGGTACTTTCACTCTGTTTAAAATGTAAAAGCTAGGCCAGGCATGATAGCTCACACCTGTAATCCCAGCACTTTGGGAGGCTGAAGCAGGCAGATCGCAAGGTCAGGAATTGGGAGACCAGCCTGGCCAACATAGTGAAATCCCATCTCTACTAAAAATATAAAAATTAGCCGGGTATGGTGGTGCGTCCCTGTAGTCCCAGCTACTCGGGAGGCTGAGGCAGAATTGCTTGAACCCAGGAGGCAGAGGTTGCAGTGAGCAGAGACCATGTCATTGCACTCCAGCCTGGGTGACAGGATGAGACTTTGTCTCAAAAGAAAATAAAAATTAAATCTGTGGGAAAAAATTTTGTTTTCGTTTTTTGAGATGGAGTTTTCCTGGGACTACAGGCGCGCACCACCACACCCGGCTAATTTTTGTACTTTTAAGTAGAGGTGGGGTTTCACCATGTTGGCTGCGCTTGTCTCGAACTCCTGCCCTCAAGTGATCCGCCCACCTTGACCTCACAAAGTGCTGAAATTACAGGTGTGAGCTACTGCGCCTGGCCTAAAATTTATTTAAGATTTTTAATAGGAATGTTTGATGCATTTATTTGCAACATTTCACATGCATTAACAGTAGAATGAAAGGCAGTCTAAGTGCCTACCAGCTGTGGTGGAACTGCTTCGGAGATGCATGTCACCTGGGCAAAGCAAGTCTTCCTTATTTGAGGAAAAAGAGTAAGCAAACTCCACACATACTAAGATGGCTATAGTTTTAAAAAATGGAAAATATTAAGTGCTGGTGAGGACTGGAGAAATTAAAACCCTTGTGCATTGTTGGTGAGAATGTAAAATGGTGCAGCCAGTGTGAAAAACAGTTTGGCAGTTTCTCAAAATGTTAAACATAGACCTACACTAGCAATTCTGCTCATAGGTATATACCCAAAAAAGCTCAAAGCAGGGACTCAAGGAGATATTTACATACTCATAGTAGCCAAGGTGTGAAAACAACCCAAGTGTCCATCAGTAGATAAATGAACATTTAGGAGGCCAAGGCAGGCAGATCACTTGAAGTCAGGAGTTCAAGACCAGGCTGGCCAACATGGTGAAACCCCATCTCTAATAAAACTACAAAAATTAGCTGGGCGTGGTGCACACGTGTAATCGCAGCTACTCAGGAAGCTGAGGCAGGAGAATCACTTGAACCCAGGAGGTGGAGGGTGCAGTGAGCTAAGATCACATCACTGAGAGCAAGATTCCATCTCAAAAAAAAAAAAAAATGAATGAATAAACAAAATGTGGTATATCCACACACTAAAATATTCCATCATAAAAAGGAAGGCAATTCTGGTCTGGCGCAGTGGTTCATGCCTGTAATCCCAGCACTTTGGGAAGTCGGGAGGGGCGGATCACCTGAGGTCCGGAGTTCGAGACCAGCCTGGCCTACATGGAGAACTTCTCTACTAAAAATACACAATTAGCCAGTCATGGTGGCACACTCAGCTACTCAGGAGGGATTCTCCTGCTGAGGCAGGAGAATCACTTGAGCCCAGGAGGTGGAGGTTGTGGTGAGCCAAGATCGCGCTATTGCACTCCAGCCTGGGCAACAAGAGTAAAAAAACTCTGTCTCAAAAAAAAAAAAAAAAAACGGAAGGCAATTTCCGTTTTCACTTAACATAATGTTTTCAGGATTCATCCATGTAGTTTGTGTCATGGATGAATCCTGAAAACATTCGTTAAATGAAATAAACAAGACACAAAAAGATATATATTGTACAACTCCACTTTCCTGAAGCACCCAGAGTAGCTGAAATCATGGAAAACATGATTCAGTAGAACAGAGTTTTCCAGGGGTTGGAAAGTGGGGGATGGGGAGTTATTGTTTAGTGGGTACAGATTTTTTGGAGAGGGTGATAAATATTTTGAGGTATAGGCAGTGGTGATGGCTACACACTTGTGAACTGATTTAACGCCATTAAATTTACACTTAGAAATGGTCAAAATGACGAATATGATGTTCTACATATTTTACCACAATTCAAAAGAGAATGAGAGAGAAATACATGTCAATGGAGCAGGCAGCCCACTCTGTTCCACACAAGGAGCTGGTGTCTGGGAAATGGGAGGTGAGGACCCACAGCGCACCGGGGGTCCCTCAAGGACGTTAGTGGGGAATACTGCAGCAAGCATTTCACCCACCCCACTGCATGGGGTTCTGGTGTTGAACAAGAACACATGGTGTGGCGTGGTGGCTCATACGTAGAACCCTAGCACTTTGGGAAGCCAAGGCGGATGGCTTGCTTGAATCCATGAGTTTAAGACCAGCCCGGGCAACAGAGCGAAATCCCACCTGTACAAAAAAAAAAAAAAAAAAAAAAAGCAAAAACTAGCCGGGCATGATGGCATGCACCTGTAGTCCCAGCTGCTTGAGAGGCTGAGGCGGGAGGATTGCTTGAGCCCAGGAGGCGGAGGCTGCAGTGAGCTGAGATCTTGCCACTGCACTCCAGCCTGGGTGACAGAAAAAAAAAAAGGCCAGGTACAGTGGCTCACACCTATAATCCTAGCACTTTGGGAGGCCAAGACAGGTAGATCACCTGAGCTCAGGAGTTCGAGACCAGCCTGGGCAAGATGGTGAAACCCCATCTCTACTACAATACAAAAAATCAGCTCGGCATGGTGGTGGGTGCTTGTAATCCCAGCTACCTGGGAAGCTGAGGCACGGAGAATGGCTTGAACCCGGGAGGTGAAGGTTGCAGTGACCTGAGATCATGCCATTGCACTGTAGCCTGGGAAACAGAGCAAAACTCCATCTCAAAAAAAAAAAACACTCACATACACATTTCCTTACAAAATGGCCCCTAGCCAGGTGCGGTGTCTCACACCTGTAATCCCAGCACTTTGGGAGGCCGAGGTGGGCAGAGGTCAGGAGTTCAACACCAGCCTGGCCAACATGGTGAAACCCCATCTCTACTAAAAAGTACAAAAATTAGCCAAGCGTGGTGGTGCAAGCCTGTAATCTCAGCTACTCAGGAGGCTGAGGCAGGAGAATTGCTTGAACCTGGGAGGCGGGGGTTGCAGTGAGCCGAGATTGCACAACTGCACTTTAGCCTGAGTGACAGAGTGAGATTCCATCTCAGAAAAAAAAAAATGGCCCCTAAAAGCACTTGTTTCATCTGGAGACCTTAAACAGCAGTCTATTCCAAAACACAGGGAAAATGGACTCTGGACTGAGTATTATAGCTTAGTCTCCACGTGGCACCTTCGTAGGGTAATATTGATCACACTCCACACTTGCCTTCCATGACAACTCTGGAATCTGACTGCTCCAGAAATTCTGGCTGGCCAAGTCATTCCTGCACCTCTAGCTCCCCATGAATGACAACATCCATTCATTCCTGTCATTACAGGGACCTGAGGCTTAGGGATAGTCCCACATTCCACAGATGGACGTGCAAGTCCAGGTTTAGAGGGAAAGTGCGATTGGAACTGGGGGAGTGGCACCAGAATTTGCATCTGGGTCCTCTAACGTCAAAATTCTGCACACTTTCCATCCCTGTATAAGGTCTCCCTAAAATCTCCACCACTTAGAAGCTTCTACAACCCCAATGCCAATAGACACTTACCAGAGCACTACTGGGCCAGCCCTGTACAGGTTGTGCACAATACAGACACAGAGCGACCCTCTCCCTGGCCAGCTCGAAGCCTAGCTAGAGAGACACAGCCCTCTACTGGGAGTGACCAGACAGTATGCTTATGATGGGGTGAGGGAGATGGCACCTAACCCCACCAAGGAGCCTTCTGGAAGGAAGCAATACTTAGAGGTGGGCCAGGAACCTGTAATTCCAGCACTTTGGGAGGCTGAGGTGGGTGAATTGCTTGAGGTCAGGAGTTTGAGACCAACCTGGCCAACAGAGTGAAACCCCGTCGCTACTAAAAATACAAAAAACTAGCCGGAGTAGTGGCAAACACCTGTAGTCCCAGCTACTCAGGAGGCTGAGACAGGAGAATCGCTTGAACCCAGGAGGCAGAGGTTGCAGTGAGCAGAAACTGTGCCACTGCACTCCAGCCTGGGCGACAGAGCAAGACTCCATCTCAAAAAAAAAAAAAAAAAATTACTGAGGGATGGTATAAGCAGGCAATTTCTCCGCACATTTGCTTTTTGTATACTCATTCTCAGTTTAGATAAATAGTTTTCATTAATTGAGCTGCAAAGTTTCTAGGGTCCCATGTAGTGATAACAATATGTCACTTGTTATACAGGGTGGCCTCTTTCTCAGGGGTCCACTCTGCAAGCGGCACTGATCTGCACTGCTTATATGTGTTAGCGTATTGATCTCCCGGATCACCCTACAACGTGGTGCTATCGATATCTCACAGACAGAAGAGGAGACAGGGTACCCTAGGAATCAGGCGGAAAAGTGGGCTTGGAACTAAGGCAGTCCCATGCCCAGGTCTGCACACTCTTGGTGGCCACATTCTTCCTCCAGCCAAGTCCCTTGCATGCCAGAGTCTGGGATGCCTCCTATCCTGGGCCCAGGAGC